CCGGAAGAGCTCCCTTCACTGGTGACCCTGAACAGTAAGCGTCCTATCTTGTCTGATCGAACGTAAAAACTGATTCTTCGCTCTTGTCTGAACCAACGTAAAAATGTATTTTTCGCCTTCTTTTCATTGCTTACAATCCAGTTCTTGATTATCAGGAACATGAAAGAAATTGCAAAGTTAAGAGGCAGTGAAGAACTATGGGAAGTGGCCAAACTGCACAACCGTGAATCTTCATTTCCTCAGGTATGTTGTCCTATATTGTCCGTTTCATAGGTTACATAGATATTGTATATACACCTATCTATATGTATGTATGTGTGTAAGGTAGCATTAGCAATTGGTCCACATAAATTGTGTTTTATTCAAATGGTTAAGTATTCAAATCTGTAACCATTGGAAAAATATGTATATCCGAGTAATGTTGTTGGCCATATTGTTGTTGCTGTTCCACTAGGAGCTGTACGAGTCACGGTACTTGCGGCGAGTGGACTTGAGGGAATGGTGTAGACTGAACACCAAACGCAGCGATTTCCTGATCGCGATTCCGCGAGCGCTGTTTGATCTGGTGGACAAATGTTTGACGGTTAACCCCAGTCAAAGGATCAGCGCTGAGGACGCACTCCGACACGATTTCTTCTCTCCCGTTCACAACAGCTTGAGAGAACGAAGGCTTGTCATGCAGGAGATCGCTAACGCAGCCGCATCAAGAGGTCGCTAACGCAGTTTCTGCGTTTGCCAAACCGCAGACGGTCTCTTCATTAACTGTTGAGAACTAATACTAAATCAACAAAAATGGTTTATGCGATAAAAAAAAAATGTATTTTTCTGTGCATCTACGTTTTTCTTTCCTGCAGAGAAAGGAAAACATTCATCGACTTTACCCAAATGATTACTGGCCTCAATTGTGATTTAATTTCTTTCGGGGTTAAATTATGAGTTTTCAGAAGTATGGGGGTCTTATTAAAAAACGTTGCACAGGTGGCAGCGGTTTTCGAGGTAGTTCTCGGATATTCGAAGGCCAGACGCGAGAAATTTCATGAAGTCCAGCACACCGCCGACTGTTCGGTGACTATAAATACTCTCGGCCTGTCCGCGCCAACGCCCCGCAAGCGCATTTTCTCTCGTTTTCTCGCGTTTCTTTCTCGCCAAACAAACATGGATGCGTTCTCTTCTTTCTTCTACACTCAGTCAAGCGATTCCTGGACCTATGATTCTCTTAAGAGCCTCCATCAGATCTCTCCAGTCGTTCAGCAGCATCTTAGACAGGTAAGATACAACATATCCTCTGCTCTCATTCCAACGACACCTGTTTGGTTGCCGAGAAAATCTACGAAGTTAGCGCATCTGCTTGGAATTTAGGGAATACTTTGTTTAAGGTGTCGATTGGTAAGTCGATCACAGCGGATTTTAGGATAAATCCTCCAAAACTCGCAGATCTATATCTCACCGATTTGGTACGTCTCTTTGTTCGATTGCCAAAATAATCTTGGAATAGCGAGGTTAATTTGCTAGTCATTAGGGCAGTGCAGACTACGACCCCCCTTTTTTTTGTAACGATCTGAATTTGCAGGTGTATCTCACCTTGTGCTGCGCACTGGTCGCAGCGGCCATCGGAGCTTACCTTCATCTGCTATGGAACGTCGGAGGCCTTCTGACGATGTTCGGGTGCTTGGGAAGCATGATTTGGCTGCTTTCTACGCCTCCATTCGAAGAGGTAATCATTTATTGGTAGCTTAAAATCTGATTGTCGCTGTTCTGGTAGTTTTGAGTCACCCTGGATTTTTACTGATGTTGTCTTTACCCTACTTGTTATTCGTCTTCCGCAGAGAAAGAGGGTCGCTCTTCTGATGGCATCTGCTCTTCTTCAAGGTGCTTCAATCGGTCCTCTGGTTGAGTTGACTGTGAGCTTGGATCCAAGGTACTTTTATTCTCCCATATCGTCATGTGGGTTAATGCCAGAATAAAGGGAACTTTTGTTTTCATCTAGATGATCAAATGCAAGAGAAGTAGTGATGAGTCAAATTCGTCTTCAGTCTCACAAATGTGCGGACAGAGTGAAAGTGAAAATGTTTGGTAATCTTAATCTCCGACAAAGTTTAAGGAATCTTAGGTGATTTTAGAGAGAATATAAAACGATCATGTAAGGGTGAGAGATAACAGATTTGGCGTTATGGCGGCCATTGTTACAGCATCTTGGTCGCTGCGTTCGTGGGTACGGCATTGGTTTTCGGCTGTTTTTCCGCAGCGGCACTGTTGTCAAGACGGAGGGAGTATCTCTACCTCGGGGGCTTCCTTTCGTCAGGTCTCTCCATCCTTGTGTGGCTTCATCTCTTCTCTTCCGTCTTCGGCGGATCAGCTGCCATTTTCGAGTTTGAGGTACATCCATCTTCATTTTTCTTGAAATATAAACCCAAAAGATGAGGATTTTAACAAAGCGATGAACAAAATGGGGAGAGGGGCAGTTGTACGTTGGGTTGGTGTTGTTCGTGGGGTATGTGGTGGTCGACACTCAAGCAATCGTGGAAAGGGCTCACCTTGGTGATCTCGACTTCGTTAAACACTCCCTCACTCTTTTCTCCGACTTCGCCTCCCTCTTTGTCCGCCTTTCCATCATCTTGGTAAGTTATATATATACACATATATATATATATATATATATATATATATATATATTCAGCGTTTTCTCACGTTCATTTATTTGGTAACTTTCCCTTTTCTCTGATTGCTGGTTTGTTTGTTTCTGCAGCTTAAGAATTCGGTGGATAAGAGGAGCAACAAGAAGAAGAAGAAGAGAGACGGCTAACGCTGTCGCTTTCTCCTTTTCTACAAAGCCCCTATCGAAATCAAAATATATGGACCCACGATTGTAAATAAATAAATAAAAATAAACAAAAAAAGTGTGTGAGATACTGTTAAAAAAAAAAAAAAAAAGCGAATCGTTGTCCTAAAATTCAATACCATAATATAGGAATGTGTAGTTAGTCTCCCCGAAATATTTGGATTTCAATAAAACTACAAAAAAATGGAGTGAACTGAAATCACGGAAAATGAAAAAGCCCAACTTCAACAAGAAAATGTTAAAGGCCCAAAGATAAAACACCCAAAGTTTTGGCCCAAATTAAAAGAATTAAAAAGAAAAAGGAGTGTGGGTTAATGGGAACCGTCGGATTGCACCGTTAACGTCCAGTAGAGCGGAAGTCACCGAGAGGGCGTCGCGTCTTCGTCGCCACCGCCGGCTCTTTCCTCCGCCGCCTCCGCCCTCTGATTTGTCGTCCTTTTGCTGTGTAGGTTCGCTCTCCGCTTTCTGTACTCGTATTTCTCCGTTCTTCTTCTTCTTCATCTGCCTTCTCTGATTTCCCAAGAATCACGTTCAAGCCTATAATCCGGGAATTTTTATAGTTAATTTCTTAAACCTAGTTTGATTTCTGTGATTGTATGCGATTCCTCGTGATCTGTTTACTTCTTAATTGTTTTACTTCGATTTTAGGTTTCGAGTTGGTTCTTCGTATCCACGAATCCGATTACCCATTTGACCGGTTAGGATGACAAATTCGCGACTGTGTTCATCACAATTTGGATGATTTTCGTGTATGTTTTGCTTTGTTGTCTATGTGGTTCTGAGATTTCGTGTGTTGTATTCTGATTCCGTCGGAGGCCTAATTTACCCCGCCAATTTCTTCGTTGTGATTCGCAAAAACTTCTTGAAACATGACAGATGTTTTGTTGTTTATGCCATTAGTTTGATTTTGAATTTGTTTTCTTCATTGGTGGTTTAGGAAACGGGTGATTCCGGGGCATTCGAATTTTACTGAAAGATGAACAAGCTTTTAGAATTTGGGAGAAAAGCAATGTTCTATGTCAGAGTCCTCTCTGGGTATGAAGAAAGGAGGATTCGGAATTACAGGTTGCAGCTTGAGAAGCGTCTCCAGATGGTATTTTATTTCGTTTTCCCCATAGTTGTACCTCGTTTTTGTGTTCGGGGATAAACCTAAGAAGCAATAGATGCTAAAACTTCATTCCTTAAATTGTTCAATGAATTTAGCTGGGATCCACAGATTTGAGAAAAAAAAAATGGTCTAGAACTTCGTCCTTGTTAAGTCATTTAGAAACTAAAGCCTGATTAGGAAGGCATGGTTTGGTTCATGTTTGCTCAAATTTCACGCGCCATATGATCCTCCAGTTTACCTTGTATTTTGGAATTGTCTCTCGTACGATTGGATATCCGGGATTTCGTAAAAGCTGAGGAACACCGAAAGGGTTGTTTTTTCATAGGATCGAAAACCATAACCATGATCTGAATGATGTGAATGAGTGTGTCACCTCTATTTTCAGGCTCAACAGAAGAAAGATGAGATAAATAGACTCCCAGAGCAACTTATATTATCTGAGGTCCGCCGAATGGTTGAGGAGATGCAGAATTTGAATAAGCAGCTCGAAGAAACGGTTAGTCCTCATCCAAACCATTTACGGGTTTTGGCATTACCCTCCCTGGCTAACCCTTTTTAGGTGTTTAACTCTTACAGGAGGCCAACATTGAAGAGTACTTCAAACCAATAGACGTGCAAGCAGAGTCAATAATGGAGATTCAGCTCCAAGGAGAGAAGAAAACCGTGGAGCAAATGTTGGCTGCCACACAGGATCATACATTTAAAAAGATAGAAGAAGCCGAGAAACGTGCCATGGCACGAATTAACGCGAATGCAAAGGCAAACACAAACACGGGCGAGAGTAACCCAGAGTCAGAATCGTCAGCCAGCAAGTAGGCGCAAGGTAAAGGCAAATTGCTGTATGGGTTGACACCGGGAGTAGATTCAGAATCTTCATCTGGGTGTGTTTTCTCTTGAAATTGCAGAGATCAATTAGTTCATCAAAGATGAATATGGCAGTCTTGTATTAGTTGGGTTTTAATAACGTGGAAGAAAAATTTTGAACGATAGATGATGACGCTGGTTGGTTCCACCATTACTTTGTTGTCTCCTTAGCAATAACTTGTAGCGGTTTTCCTACAGTTAAAGAGCAAAATACTTGCTAGCTATTTCGTCCGTCATGTGACAATGTTGATTTTAGGGTTGTGAATAAACAAACTACGCAACTAACAACTGATGTTGCTGTGGTGTAGTGGTTATCACGTTAGTCTTACACACTAAAGGTCCCCAGTTCGATCCTGGGCAGCAACATTTTATCTTTCTCTTTTGATTTATTTATGTAGAGCATTTTAGATCTTAGGCTTGTGCTGTTTTCTAATATTTCTGAAATCCATGTTGTTTCCAACCGTTTGTTGTTTTAGCTTTTCTGCGAAATGCATGCCGTTGAACTCATCCACGAGCGAACTGCTTGCTGCCTGAAATATTTCCGAAAACCATGTCGTTTCTCCCATGCGGTAGCCAACTTCGTGCTGTTTCCAGTATCCCGGAAAGCCGTGTCGTTTAGCTGGCACGTAAGCTAACTGTTTGCTGTTTTTTCCCTCTGTGCAAAAAGCATGCCGTTTTACTATTGCACGAGCCGACTGCTGGCTGTTTTCTACATTTTCGAAAAGCACGCTGTTTATCGGATGCAGAAGTCAACTGCTTGTTGTTTTTTAAGAATATGGAAAACCATGTAGTTTAACTTATGTATAGAACAAGTGCGTGACGTTTTTTTCATTAATATATGAAAAAAAGTCCACATATAACAAATGATCAGCATTTTAAATTATGAGATATTTCATATAACCCGTCACTGATTAAATTATGTTAAAACTATTTCGGTAACTGCAGTTTATTTTAATAAAAACACTATATCTTTTATTAAACAAAATATCTGGGGTTTTCATTAAAATAAATAGAAAATCGCTTTCCGAAAACTAAATTTATTTTATTTAATATTATTTTTATCCATAAATATTGAGTTACATTTAGTTCATAGATATCCCGACAATATACTGGGTATAAACTAATTAATTATTATAAAAGATCTATTTTTGCAAAAATATTTTAATTAGAAGGTGGATATATTTTAATTAAAAGATATATATTACATATATATTGTATATTTTTATTTTTATTTTTTTAATTATAATTATGTTACGAAAAGTTTGGTTTTGTCCCAACGCGCTTCATTTCCTAATTTGATGAAAATTGGGCAAAACCGCTGGACTATAGTCCGGGGATTTCGCAGCGGTGTCGTTCACGCGCCATCAGTGCGCGTGTGATAATTTGATGCGGTCAAGGCAGCTTGGGCGGGAAGCCTCTCTTAGAAAGCCTTATATGAGTCTGAAATTAAAGGCCGAGAGGCCCATTTCGACTGTAGATCCAATAAAGACATTTAGGCCCATTTAAAGGCCCAAGGTTCATTTATTAGGCCCTTTTTGCTTGCATCCTCTTAGTTTTTTTTTCTTAATTATATTAAATTGACTCCGAAAATGGTTCGGTATATATTTTTTTAATAATCACCTCAACAATAACGGATGTGAAACATATGTTTAGCTAATTGGCTAAAATCTACTGAAATTTAATTAAAAATTGTAAAGCAAATGTTGTTACTATTTTTCCTTGACTTAATCACACATTGTATTTTTATTAACTTTTTCACCCAATTCCTTTTTCTCAATTTTTATTAAATCTTGAAAAAAATTTATAAACCAATAGCTAAGGTAAACATATGTTGCTGTATCAATGGGATTGTATTTTAAATTTGTCATTAGAATTCGACCGGACAAACTATTCGTTGTAAAAAGGATAATATAAAAGTTTTATGTATAAAATTATCGTTACTAGAATTTTAACTTTGACTTAACTTTAACAAAAGTCTTAATTAATATCGGGATGGGTTGAGAAAAATAAGAAACTAAAAAAAAACTACGGGGTTTTAATTATGTATGAACAGCTTGGTTTTGTCCCACGCGCCTCGTTTCCTGTTTTGATGAAAATTGGGCAAAACCGCTGGACTATTGTCCGAGGATTTAGGGGCGGTGTCGTTCACGCGCCATCAGTGCGCGTGTGATAATTTTATGCGTTCAACTTTTGTAGCCGCATGGGCGGGAAGTCTCTCTTGGAAAACCTTTTTAAATTAAAGGCCAACAGGCCCATTAATACTGTAGACCCATTAAAGGCAATTAATTAAGCCCATCAAGGCCGCAAGGCCCATTAATGCTTCAATGTCCATTTGGTTAGGGCCATTTTTCTAATTATATTTAATTAACTCATGTATCCAGTTACTTCACATCCTTGCTATATCTAATTCTTTCTCTAAAATTTAAATTGAAGTATCTAATGTTCTTGTATACCTTGAAAATTAGAAAAAAAATATATTAAAAAAAATTTTGCAAAATGTTTTATATTTATAATTCAGTTTTTCTAATGTTAAATCTGTAATTTAATTATGCATCTAAAGGTAAAAAGACTAAAAATTTATACAATATATTTTCTAATGTATGACCAAATCCGAAAAGAAATAATTTTCAATCAAAATTATAAAGCGGTATAATTATAATTCGTCAACAAACTCCTTTGGCACAAACTACTTTATATATATATATATAAATGCTGGAAAAAATTATTGCTGACAAAATAAAATGTTAAAGAATGAAAAGCTGAGAATGAGAGGGGAATATCAATAAGAAATTTTAATAAAAAAATTACTTAGAAACCGATAATAAATTCTAGGTAGAATTACCAAAAAATTAAAATACTATACGAAAAAAAAAAAAATCAAAACTATTCGAAAAACAACAGATTTGAGTTATCCTTTCCTTAGGATGCAAGTAATCACTCACCTGTCCTGACGTGATTCCGTTCTCAAACTTTGTTTCGTAACTCCAGCAACTGCAAGGTTAGGAAGTTGGTATTCCGCCCTGAAAATATAGATTTCATCAAAGAGAAAATCCCCTTCACGAGCTTTTCTACCTCGCAAAAAGGCGTAAAATTTTAGACGCTGAGTAAGCATACACCCTGGCATAACCTGTAGAGGCTTGACCAATCCCAAGTCTGTAAGGTCCTTGATCGTATTTCTCTGAATCTCGGTCAAGGTATTCACTTGAGAAACTTATGTTCTACCTCGCCAGTAGCATGGAAACTAAGCTCTAGCAAAAATGAAATGAGATCTGCTGGATCCTCATCTCGCTCCTCAACCATGGTGGCACTTGGTTATTCAAACACAACTTAACCTTGGTTAAGGGCATGACACAAACCTCAGCATTGGCCATGCATTCCCGTATAATGTACCAAAGCTGTGCATTTGTATCCATTAGCTGCGTATCAGAGTCAACAGGATAATTAACATCGATACAATTGAGAAGGAGTAAAATGGTCAATGATTTACGCCTTGCGTACCAAAAACTGGAAACCATTCTCGGTTAATATCGGGCCATCTCCGTCTCTGCAGGATCAGGTGGACTGTATTGGATAAAGAGTATCTATGCAGTCATCGGGCAGAATTGATATGCAACGCAACAATACCTTTGAGTCAAAAGACCTCGTTGGAAAATCCTCTTCATTGAAGAACTGATGCCCGTTAGCTTATCAGCTTGAGCTGAATTTATGAGTTGTAGAAGGAAGCGCTGGTTAACATACGTGCAGACCATCAGATGTTAACAAAAACCCAACATAACTGAGTTTCTTACGCAATTACTTCTTAGTGAATATATAAGATATTCTCAATGCATATTTGCAAAGTCGCACCTCCCATTACTCAAGGGCATGTGTTTCTAGTTCTTGCTGACTCGGGAGCTTAATGGCATTGTTTGAAGGCAGGGGTTCCCTAGGGAAAACTCCACTGAAATTCAAGTTTACACCATGAGCATAAAAATCAGGAAAGAGGGAAAAACAAAAGAAATGGGTGATCCATAGAAGCCGACGAACCAAGACAAAAACTTACCCATATATTATGTGTCTCCGAAGATTATTCTGAAATGTGGGATTTAGTCGGTAACTAGTTTCCTTTTTCCTGAAAAAGTAGAAACTCATAATTTCAGTAAATACTTGAAGCCAAACTTAAATATTTCCGAAAAATAAACTGGAACTGTCTGCTTGCTGCAAGTACAGAGCTTAACTAACAAAATAACTTCACAGACAAGGCCACATTGAGTTCCCAATTTAATGTTCAATAACAAGAGAAAGACAAAAGTTACTTCCAACTTCGAACTAAACCTTCCTTGGAATTCTCAGTTATGTGTTCAATGCCAAGGGGAAGAAAGATAGATAGATATCCTCACTGGAAAAATTATATCCTTACTCAAATTACAACCTCCAAAGAAGATCCAAGTAATCGCCACATTACCATATAAGTAAAAACTTCAAATCAGAAATGATCAACATCCTAGTATCCTACACAAAAGTCACAGCAAAAGAACATTGTTACGTACCTATCTACCGTTTCTGAAAGAATTCATAATTGAATTAATCGATTGATTGCGACTTTGTGCTTAGAGACACCCTCTACAAGCACCCACTCTTCCATCAGCTTGGCGGGCACCGGCACATCAATGCACAACATCTGTAATACATATTTCCTGGCCAGCGGAGGCAAAGACCTGACATCACAATAATTATCTTGAGTAAACACAAAAGCAAAATTCGTCTACAATAGAATGTGTTCTCAAATCGAACCCAGGATCATTCGCAAACTCCTGAACTCGAATTTCACTCCTAAGTTGAGGGAATTCTAAAATCATGGAATTCATCTTTGATACCTAACCTGAGAATGGCCTCGCAGATGAATACATTGTTGTAGAGCTTGTCTAGCTTGACGGCGGGAAGAGCCGCCACCATGTCCATGAAATTCTTCGCGATGATCTTCACCTGCGGCATCTTCTCCGAGAAAAAACCTTCTCCAACTCAATTAATCAATCCATTCGGGAAAATGTATCCGACCTCCGGACAAAATCGACCAAATTCGAAGCGCTCGAACAAAAAGAGTTGAAGAGCGCAGAATTCTTAAACCCTAACAAGTGAAGGAAACTAGGATTTTTACAATTATCCTACAGAAAAGAGATGCCTCCGTGATCAACCAGATAAACCTCATTCCACCGTCTCGAAACGGAGAATCTCCGGAGATCAACCCCCTCGTCGCCGGCGCTCGTCTCCGGTGGCCTGCGAACACCTACCTCGTCGCAGAAACTGACGCCCCAAGGTTTCGATTTACTTGGGCCATAGAGCCGGCCCATATAATAAATGCCGGCCTGATTTAAATTATTTTATTTTACGTTAAATCGCTTCAAATTTTCGTTTTTTTATTTTATTTTTTATTGGTCAACTACTCGTATATCTACACTTAGCCATTGACCCTAGTTTTTTCATTAAAATATTAAGATAATATCTAAAAGAACGAAGAACAGACAAACGCATTATACTTTTTTATTCATTTGAACTTGAACGTAAAATAATTACAAAAGGCAAACGACATTCACAAGCCCACAAATTTATTCATTCATATATATACACATATATATATGTATATACGAATTTTTATTATTTATAAATAACCATATATTTTTTTGAAACCATATGATATCATTCATTGGTCGACGTATCAATTCAGTAGAGTTGGATGGTGGAGTCGTAGATAGCTTTGGGTTTCCAGAGGGAAGGGATGGCGCCGGTGGCTTGCTTCCATGTCTCGCCGGCCGAGCCGTGGACCAACACCCTCACCGACAGCTTCCCCTTTGGCGGGGTTGGCAGGTCGTACACCGCACCGTACGCGTTCCTCATCCTTACCCACCCTCCTTGATACCCCTATATATATATATATACGCACATATATACACCATTTAATCAACATATATAGACATTTGAATGTATCTCTTGAAAGCATGTAAAACCCATTATATCTATATATATATATATATATATAACATCACATTATTCATGACACCATTTGATAATATGGTCCGATATAGGGTTTGCAGCATATGTAAGAGCCATTATATATATATTGCTAATATTATTATTAGTACCCAGTAATAAAGTTTTTATATGTTTGATAAATGTATTAGGGTTTGTGATTCGTTTGGAGAATTTTTGAAAAAGATTGGAATTACCTTGACTTCGATGGCCTTGACGTCGTTAACGCCGTTAACGTTCAGGAGGACGAGGGACAGGTAGTCACCGCACCGTACGCGTTCCTCATCCTTACCCACCCTCCTTGATACCCCTATATATATATATATACGCACATATATACACCATTTAATCAACATATATAGACATTTGAATGTATCTCTTGAAAGCATGTAAAACCCATTATATCTATATATATATATATATATATAACATCACATTATTCATGACACCATTTGATAATATGGTCCGATATAGGGTTTGCAGCATATGTAAGAGCCATTATATATATATTGCTAATATTATTATTAGTACCCAGTAATAAAGTTTTTATATGTTTGATAAATGTATTAGGGTTTGTGATTCGTTTGGAGAATTTTTGAAAAAGATTGGAATTACCTTGACTTCGATGGCCTTGACGTCGTTAACGCCGTTAACGTTCAGGAGGACGAGGGACAGGTAGTCAGGGTAGCGGCTGTTCTCATGGATCTTGATACGGACGTTAGGGGAGGCGTATCTGCATGGCACCCTCCGGTACGTGACGTCGACCGTTCCGTACGATATCAGCCGGCCAGAAGCTCCGGGCCGAGCCATTTGGGCGAACGCTGCCTTGTTCATCACGAAGTCCGTACGGTCACCCTGCCCGTAGTCCGTCACCGCCACCGTCACTCCCTCTTTCTTACAGTACGGATACATTGTACATTTCACCTATACACACACACACATATATAAGTGACGTCATTAAAATTACAATACATGAAGAAAATAAATAGAAAAAAAAAAAGAGAGAGAGAGATACCTGATAACAGGCGCCACAGCCGGTTCCTCCGTACCAAAGGTTGGAAACACCGGTCACTTTAGCATAGTTCATGTCTTTTCCAGATTCACCATATCCACATGCCCCACCTGCATGCATGCATATATATAATGAAATATATGTATATATATATATGTGTGTGTATGTATATATATGTGTGTGTATATATGTATGTATGTATAGGCGTACTTGGAGTGCCTTTGCCGTCGGGTGTGGTGTAGTGAGTAGCCCTCGAAGGGACGAAGTCAGTGGGCTTGGAGAAGGAAGCAGCGGGCAGAAGAAGAAGAAGAGAAGCAATGAAACAGAAGCCCTTCATCTCAGTTTTGTCTCTTTGTATATGTTTTTTTTTTTTGTGATAATTAATTTCTGTAAGAGATGGGGATGGGAAACATGATGAAGCCCGAGTGCGTATTTATAGGCTCCCTTTTTTTTTTTTTTTTTTTTTTTTTTTGTTGGTTAGATGGAATCTTTATTAAAATATTATATATAGATATATGTATACGTATGTATGCATAAGGAGATGGATTTGGACCTTGACCGTATCCATGGACCATATATAAACCATGTACTTGATGGTTGATTTTATACAAATATGCATAATCCATGGACAATATATATTACAGATATAAATAAAAATAGATCATCATGCCTCGGTGTAGAAGGTGTTCTGCAAATCTGGTAAACCTCTGTATTATGCAGAAGGTTTCGAGAGAGAGACGTCTGGTTTTAAGTCCGTTAAATAAGGTCAATTCAGTAAATTGATATCCCGGGTTGTTATAAACTCGAGTCATCTTCTTCGTTGGTGGGTGGGCTTTTCTTTTGCGTTCTTCAAGCTTTCTCTCTCTTGTTTTCTCTCTCAAGTTTTGTACAGACTGAGCTCACAGGTTTCTTTTGTGTGAGTCAGTCGGGTTCTTCTCTCGATCTCGTTCTAGTGGTTTTGCCAGGTTTTACTTGGCCGTGACGTAGGGTTCAAAGGAACCTGAACACGTAAATCCTCTGTGTTCTCTAAATTCCGTTTGCAAGAATCGCATATCGACTGAAACCTACTCCGAATCTACAATTGGTATCAGAGCCCCGTTGGTAACGATCCAGGGAGACTGTGACTGGCGAAGGACAGGAGATCTCAACAATGGCATCAGGATTATCGGTGGTAAAGTTGGATGTGGAGAAGTATGACGGAAAACTAGATTTTTCGCTCTGGAGAGACAAGGTACTTGCAAGTCTTGAAATTCTGAGATTGCACAAGGTCTTAGATGAAAAATACATCAAAGGAGACTATGAACAGATCGGAGAATCTAAAGAAAAGGAGACCAAGATCGAGAAGAAATCTGAAGGGAGGTCAGAAACATCATCTGATCAGGGATCATCTCAGGAATTGAGGTATGAAACTAGCAGAAAGGTTCGGAACTTAATCTTCTTGTGTCTTACGGATCAGATCATGAGGAAGGTGAAACATGAAGATACAGCCTCAGGGATCTGGAAAGCCTTGGATCGGGAATACCTACGAAAGACTGTTCCAAGTAAGATGTACTTGAAACAGAAATTGTTCGGATATAAGATGGATGACAGCAAAACTATGGATGAAAACATAGATGGCTTCAGGAAACTAGTCAGTGATTTGAGTGATCTTCAGGTAGAAATTTCAGAAGAAGACCAGGTCATGCACCTATTAAATTCCCTACCTGAAAGGTACGATCAGCTCAGGGATACTCTGAAATATTCAGGGAGAGATGACCTATCAATTGAAGATGTAACATCCTCCATATACTCCAAAGAATTGGAATTCAGATCTAAGGCAAAGGCAAACACAGGGGAAGGTTTGTTGGTTCGAGGGAAAGGTCCAAAGAAAAATGCAAAGACTCAGAAATGGAAGACAACAAAGGATAAACCAAAGGAAAAATCAGAAACAGGTTGTTGGTTCTGTGGGAAAGAAGGGCATTTCAAAAAGGAATGCAGGAACAGAAAGAAGTACTTGGAAGGATTAACCAAGAAACAAGGGGAAGTTGCTGCAATATCAGGGCACAGTTTCAGATCTAGAACCTACAGAACATTGGATCATGGACTCAGGGTGTACATTTCACATGTCACCCAGGAAAGATTGGTTCTCAAAGCTCGAATACTCAGATGGTGGGCGAGTTTTAATGGGAAACAATGGATCTTGCGAAGTAAAAGGAATTGGTGAGATCAGAATCAGATTACATGACGGAAGTGTCAAAGTCTTGAGTCAGGTAAGGTATATACCTGAGTTGAAACGGAACTTGATCTCACTAGGATCTCTGGACAAGATCGGATTAAGCTACAGATCTCAAAATGGCAAACTTGAAGTCTACAATGGCTCAAGACTTGTCATGATTGGTAAATTGCAAAGGGGCCTATACGTACTGCAAGGAGAGTCAGTTTTAGGTGAATCTCAAGTTGCAGAAAAGGAGGTGCAGTCCATACTCTGGCATCAAAGACTCGGACATATGAGTCTTAAAGGATTACAAGTCATGAGCAAAAGGGGTTTCTTAGAGGGATTCAAACCAGAAGAGATGGGTTTCTGTGAAGATTGTGTATTAGGCAAAACTCATAAGAGACCCTTCCCACAAGGAAAACACGTTTCAGAATACAACCTAGACTATGTCCACTCGGATATATGGGGCTCTCCAAATGTCACACCATCTTTGGGAAAGGCTCAATACTTCATTTCGTTCATAGACGATCATTCTAGGATGGTATGGATCTACCTACTCAGAACCAAGGATGAGGCATTCTCCAAGTTTGTAGAATGGAAGACTATGGTAGAAACTCAAACTGAGCGCAAGATCAAGCATCTTAGAACTGATAATGGTTTGGAGTACTGTAATCAGTATTTCGACAAATATTGTAGAGAGCAAGGAATTAAACGTCATAGAACGTGTACCTACACTCCTCAGCAAAATGGAGTCGCCGAACGAATGAACAGGACAGTGATGGACAAAGTTAGAAGCATGCTCTCAGACTCAGGTTTAGGCCAAGAGTTTTGGGGAGAGGCTGTAAACACAGCAGCCTATCTGATCAATGTGTCACCTTCCAGAGCCATTGACTTGAAGTTACCAGCTGAAATCTGGTATGGTAGAGAACCCCTCATCAAGGATTTAAAGAGGTTTGGGTGTTTGACTTATGTGCACTCAAACCAAGGGAAACTACAGAACAGAGCAAAGAGAGGCATCTTTGTGGGATATCCTCAAGGAGTAAAAGGATACAGGATTTGGTTGCTTGATGAAAAGAAGATTGTGGTCAGCAGGGATGTAATCTTCAAGGAGAAACAGGTGTATAAAGATCTAACAACCACGGGCAAGATTGATCAAAATCAAGCAGAGGAACTCCAAGAAACTACCAGATTTGGAATCCTGGAAGTTCCCACTGATACATCCGAAATTCAAGATGACAGAAAAATTCCAGCTCAAGAAGAAGAAGAATATAACTCTCAAGGTGGAGCTGACCAGGTTATTCAAGCTGAAACCGAGGAAGA